AGAAGTTTGACACATTTATCGTGCAACACCCTGTACTTATAGAATAATATTTCAATAATACATCAAATATCTATACTGACAGTGAAATTGTATTCATACATAACAACATTAGAATAATGTGAATTTGATATTTGTTATCAAATAAGAAAATAGTAAAATATTAGTTAGGTTGGGGCCTGGGGCCCCTGCAGTCTATGGGCCTCAGTGATCAACAACCCCCCCCCCCCTCGGGTAGTTGTGCTACTGCTGTAATTATTATACGTAAAGATACATGTATATTATGTTATAAGTTATAACCCACTCATTATAAATTTCACCCACTTCTTAAATTAAATCAAGTTAGTGTATTTTGACTGAATTCTGTATATTATATTATTATATTCACTTATAATCACTTATACAATTTACAATGTTGACTGTTATACACGCCACAAGCAGAAACGCAGAACGTATGATTTATAATAAAATCTACTAATTTGTGAAAATAGTTTTAAATATTTTCTTTCTGTAATGTACGAATGTACCCAGAATAATGAAATCAGTGTGAACTTCGAAAAAATTATAGAAACAAAATAAATATGATTAAAATAATAATATTAAAAAATAAGTAGGAACCGTTAATTAATAAGTATTAAACATATTTAATGTAGGTGGTTAATTATAATCCAAAAATGTGAAGTCGAGATTATTTTGTGTGAGCGAGAGGGGCGTCAAATATTGGTGCCCTAGGGCGTTATTGGTGGTTAGAGCGGCACTGCTAGGTCACGAAGCTAGGTACTAGTATATATTATACATTTATACAATTTCTTGGCGCCAGAGAAATCATATAACATACTTAGTTTTTTTTAAGACCCAGTATTACTCTTACTACAATTCTACTATTTACCTAGTATTTTTTAGAGCGCACAAACGCTCAGAAAACGTGCAAACAAAAACAAAGTGATTATTTACTTGTATTTTAGGTCTTTTTTTCATTCAATCATTGTAAAATTCAATAAATTCATCGCTACGCTGAGAATATAATATTGAGTCGTCTGTTGCAAACGTAATGAAAATAACAATAACGAGAAAGACGGAGAAAATTCTCGAACGTTCCTATAGCACCATCGTTGTATTATATTTATAAGGTATAGCTATAGAAATAAATGGTGCAATAGGGTGAGAATCAGAAATTGCTCAGAATCTAAAAATTGAGTTATTTAATAATTAATGGTGAGTATCCCAATGAAAATAACAAGTAAGGAGAAATACGGAGAAAATTCTCGAATGTTCTATAACACCATTCACCATTGTTGCATTAAATGTATAAGGTATAGCTATACAAATAAATGGTACAATAGGATGACGGGCAGACAGCGCGGCAGTCACGGCTGAGCTCGCCGCTCGCGAAACGTATCGAACCTTCTCGAACGTACGGTAGGATATATAAATGATAGACGCGCGCTGCCCGGCATCAGTTTGAATTCAGAGCGGTAACAGTGCGATTCATTGAACGAAATATAACTGTTATTTACTGTATTGTGCGACTCTCAGTGTTATACATATAATTATTGATTATTTAATTCAACAGTGATTTTTCAAATTTAAATACAAAGCGATTTAAGTAAATCGTAATCGTTTTATTCTTATATAATTTATTTTCGTATTAATTGTGCGTGTGACCAAAGTCGACAACTTTATTGCCGAAATGGTTGGAAGAACAGCGATTGGTATCGACCTGGGTACCACCTATTCTTGCGTGGGTATCTGGCAACACGGAAAAGTAGAGGTCATCGCCAACGATCAAGGAAACAGGACCACCCCGAGTTATGTGGCGTTCACCGACACCGAACGGTTGATCGGCGACGCGGCCAAGAACCAAGTGGCAATGAACCCAGTCAATACGGTGTTCGACGCCAAGCGGTTGATCGGTCGTCGATTTGACGACGACAAGACGCAAGCGGACATTAAACACTGGCCGTTCAAAGTGGTCAACGATTTCGGTAAGCCCAAGATCCAAGTAGAATTCAAAGGTGAACGGAAGGTATTCGCGCCGGAAGAAATAAGTTCAATGGTGCTGACGAAAATGAAGGAGACCGCGGAAGCGTACCTGGGCCGTGCTGTGACGGACGCCGTGATCACGGTGCCGGCGTACTTCAACGATTCGCAGAGGCAAGCTACCAAGGACGCGGGCGCCATAGCTGGTCTGAACGTGATGCGAATAATCAACGAACCGACAGCTGCGGCTTTGGCGTACGGTCTGGACAAGAACCTGAAAGGTGAGAGAAACGTGTTGATTTTCGACCTGGGCGGTGGCACGTTCGACGTGTCCGTTCTGCAGATCGACGAGGGTTCGATATTCGAAGTGAAGTCGACGGCGGGTGACACGCACTTGGGCGGCGAAGACTTCGACAACCGGCTGGTGTCTCATTTGGCAGAAGAGTTCAAGAGGAAATCGAAAAAGGACGTGCACACTAATCCGAGGGCGCTGAGACGGTTGAGGACGGCCGCGGAACGTGCCAAGAGGACCCTGTCGTCCAGTTCGGAGGCCACCATAGAAATCGATGCTCTCATGGAAGGCATCGATTTCTACACACGAGTGTCCCGAGCCCGTTTCGAGGAGCTGTGCGCAGATCTGTTCAGATCGACCCTGCAGCCCGTAGAGAAGGCATTAACTGACGCCAAGTTGGACAAGGGAGACATACACGACGTGGTGCTGGTGGGCGGTTCTACGAGGATCCCGAAGATTCAGAGTCTCCTGCAAAACTATTTCTGCGGCAAGCCCCTGAACTTGTCCATCAACCCCGACGAGGCAGTAGCGTACGGCGCCGCGGTACAGGCGGCCATTCTCAGCGGTGACACGAGTTCTGCGATTCAAGACGTGTTGCTCGTGGACGTTACTCCCCTGTCACTGGGCATCGAGACCGCGGGCGGCGTGATGACCAAAATCGTCGAGCGTAATTCAACCATTCCGTGCAAACAAACCCAAACGTTCACCACGTACGCGGACAACCAACCGGCCGTCACCATCCAGGTGTTCGAAGGGGAAAGGGCCATGACCAAGGACAACAACCTGTTGGGCACATTCGACCTGACCGGCATACCTCCGGCTCCCAGAGGTACACCTAAGATCGAGGTGACTTTCGATATGGACGCCAACGGTATTTTGAACGTGTCGGCAAAGGACAACAGCTCTGGCCGCTCCAAGAACATCGTCATCAAGAACGACAAGGGCCGCCTGTCCCAGGCCGAAATCGATCGTATGCTTAGCGAGGCCGAACGGTACAAAGAAGAGGACGAACGACAAAAAGTTAAGATCGCTGCCAAGAACCAGTTGGAGAGCTACGTGTATGGTGTCAAACAAGCGTTGGACGACGCCGGCGACAAGCTGACCGAGTCCGAAAGGAACACCGGAAAACGGGAATGCGACGCGGTCATTCAGTGGTTGGACAACAATCAGTTGGCAGACAAAGAAGAGTACGAGTACAAACTAAAGGAAATCCAAAAGAGCTGCTCGGCTCTAATGATGAAGATACACGGTGCAGGACAAGCCGGTGATGCGTCTCATCCCGGTGCTCATGGTTTCCCTGGGCCCGGCTCCGGAGGACCTACCGTCGAAGAAGTCGATTGATTCATTTAACAATATGTATAATTTTATTATATTTTGTAAATAGGTACTATTGTGAACTGCTTCCTACATTCTAATTGTAAATTATACGTATTATATAGGTAGATTTAAGTTGAGACTGATTTTTTTTTTTTGTTATTTTACCTACATTTTTGCAAAATAAATATTATTTATTAGCTGTCATATATATTTTTCGTTTTTATTTGTTTGTCTCGAAAAAATGAATGCTTCCTATTTTTTTATTATTTGCACAGACTTCAATAATGTATAAATAATAAATATCAATACTACCAAAGGATAGAATATTATTGAGATATTATGAATGATGATTATATAGTACGATAACAAAAATTGTGATTTGGTAAAAAAATCGCTCAAACTTAATTTGCAAGTACCTATTTAAGCATGTTGTAAGAACGTATAGCACTCTGGTACACCGAAAGCTTACCATGTATACCAACCAATCACAGAAAAGTATTTTTATGCACGTACACGTATGTAGTGGAAACTCACCTTATTTATAGTCACGGTCTTATATAAGACCGTGGTAATGGTTAATGGAAGTTATTGAAAAAAAATGTCCCGTTCTTACACTACTAGTTCTACTACCAGTGGCGTGTTGAGTATTTTTTGTAGGGGGCGGATGACAAGAATTTTAGATTCCAGATTACGATGTAATAATTATAATATAATAATACACAATATGTATTTAAAGAGCCATGGGGGTGGATTTGTCCTCATATCCGCATCCCTAAATATGCCCCTGAGTACTACAGTCTACAGTACTTTTTTTAGATTCCTACCTTTGGTCTAAGATTCCTTCCGACAATATTTTAATATTCCAGGCTTTTCGCACTCAAAACTATTAATTTTTATAAATTATAATGAAATGAAAAACGTTAAAAATTGTATAATATTATATTTTTAATTTGCACGATAAAATTTGAATTTAAAAATAAAAAAAAATTGGGAAAATGGGACTTTTACATTTCAATGTTGGTACACAAGTATTTTTGATCCGTCCCGGTTTTATGGTTTCTTCCAGGGTATTATCTCGGGTTGTTGTAGTGTTATCTGATAGGAAGAAATGTGCGGAGCCCGTTAAATAGTTTATTTGTTTATTAGTATTAGTTATTTTATGTTAATAATACCACGATGTAGCTGAAATTAGATATTATTAATTCTGAATCAGTTAAAATTCGGTACAATTACTTCGAATCTAAAGGAATCAATAGTTTTATCTTCATTGGGGCTTATTAGTTTTTGTATGATCGTGGTTTATCTACTGCATTAAGTGAAGTGTAAGTGATCTCAATTTTTTGAACTTAAGTATATTTTTATTATTATATTGTTGAATAAGTAATTATTGGTAACATTTCAACCTAGATTGAAGATGGATTCTACATTGAATGTTTCAAGACCCATGGATAACTCCATGTCCATGATTAATCAATCAATATCAACCAAAGATAGTTTGGATCTATCAGGCAAAATGTTGGATAGATTTTTTGCTGCAGATGACTCTTTTCCAACACTTATTGAGAAAATGCAGATAACTAAAAGCAGTCAGTACCAAATAATGTTATTAAAAGTGTTTTTGAAATATTTTAATTTTGTAATGACATCAATCAAAATACCTAAACAAATGTTTTTTTTATTTCTGTAACTTTAAGGTCAAAGTGTTAGTGGTTGTACCGAATATGATTATCCTAAAGAAGGACTAGGGATGCCTTCAATTACTCCCCTTAAATCAAGACACAAGATACCACTACCAGGCGCATTACTAGAGCAGTGGAATGGTACTTTTTTTAATTTCATAATAACAATATTATTGTCCTATATTCTGATTTTTTTTAAGAATTAACTACACAAAATGTTTAATGTCTGTGCACTGTGCAACATACAATATTGAAAAATAGTTCTTACATTTTTAACTATACTATATATCATTAACTTATTGTTAATATAGATGCACAAAACTTTCATCGCAAGTTGGGAATATTTCCTAGCATCAACCGAGTTTGGGTCACAATTGATCAAGAATTCTTTTTATGGGACTTTAGTGAAGGGTAATATTTTTTTACCTTTAATCTAAATAATATTGTTTGATTAAATATTTTTTATATTTTAGAACGGATTTATCTTATTTTGATGGAATGAATTCAACAATTTTTGCAGTAGCGCTGGTACCACCTAAACCAAATGTTTTTCAAGCTCACATTAAACATTTGTTAGTCTTAGCTACTGGATTAAACATTGCAATATTAGGGGTAAAGTTTAAAAAAGTTACAGGTGTTGATGGTAATTATATTATATTATTATACTTAAATTATTGTTGTAACTAATTCAAAAGATATGATTCATAGAAACCTGAAACATTCTACTATTATTTAAACTGTCCATATTCTATACACAATAAAGTTTTAAAAATATTTAGTCTTAGTTTAAGCTATTTGTAGGCTTTTAGATTCAGAGCGGAACAATGAATGTATTGATTTTACAATGACGTATGTTTTTGTTTTTTTTTTTTGTGTTTGTCACATGATAAGTAGTTGAAATAATTTTTCAAATTTCCTTCAGTAATATAAAAAAAAATATTAAAAAATATTAAAAATCCAGTCACAATTTTTTTTATGAGCTTTAAACTATGATTACTCGTCCAATATGCTATCTACCGCACGTTTGATGGTTTAATATGCTATCTACCATAAATATTTTATCTTGCTGTCATTTTATGTTTGTAAAGTATAATATCAACACGTATTTACTATCTACAAATGTCTATCTTACATTTATAATGCAGTATCTGTATTTCTACTTTGTCACTAGTATATACTGTACTGTGTAGTTTGTAGTTATGTATACATATTTCTGACCGCTCCGAGGAATTATTCGAACAGGTCTTCTTAGTTGATTTTTGTAACGAGCGCCACCACTCTTCTTGAAGTTGGAATGGTAATATGTTAGTTGCTCCCCGTGTTTTAACACCTCGGCTTGTATTACCTTTATTTAAAATACCCAATACCAAACAAGTTCTACGATATCGCATAAATTTAAAACACTGTTACACTTCCCATTTTTATTCTTATACGTAAAAAAGTATGGAGTGAAATGTTTGGCACCCTTTTTTTGTACCTCGATAATACATTGTTTTCAAAATATTACTTTCTGAATCACGTGTTCGACCATTTTTCAACTCACCACCACAAATTGTTTGGTTTTTAATTTTGGTACATGTCTGGTCAGTTGGTAATAAACCACGTATTTTTAAAAAATGTGCGCATATCTCGTCATTTTGAATTATGTGTCGATATAAATAAAACACAGTAAAACCACATATAATCGACAAGACTCGCAAACACTCACTAAAGAGGTATAACATAAATGTATTACCTACTAAGGTATAAATATAATTTAATTTGGGATTTCGATAAAAGCTTAATCTAATTGCTAAATGATGAAGTATATATAATATATCCATGTATATTATACTATGAGAGTATACAGTAGATACAGGCAATACAGCATACGGTAGATATCATACTAAACTATCATAAAATTACGGTAGATAGCATATTGGACGAGTACCAAAGTACGTATTTTGACAAGAGGCGTAAAAATAACAAAAATGTGCAAATTATTTTGAAATAGAAATTCATAAACAATTTTCTTTTTAAATCTAAGATTTAAAAATGTAATATAAGAATAAGTTTATCTACCTTTATCAAAAAAAAAAAAAATGTTAACAAGAAAGTAAAATATATATATCTTAATTTAAATTATTTACATGTCTGTGTAAATTATTGGAACTGGATAGAAACAAATTATTTTGTTATTTTTCCTTAAAAAGGAACCTGTTCAACATGCCATTCTTTAAAATGAAATCCATTCCATCAAAACACTGATACTAATTGCCCATTTTAGAATCATAGTTTAAACCTTTGTTACTCTTAACCCACTGATTTTACCGGCTGAATTCGGTGGTTTAACCTTATTTTAGTTATTGTAATAGGAGCCCTTAGTAATATCATAGGCTGTCTGACCGTTTTCCTTAGACAATGATATTATATAATTGCATTCATATTTAATACCATACATTATACAGTGACCCACTTGTAACCTACTGTACAGCAGTGTGATACCCACTCGCCCACATTTTTTGTTGATTTTTATGTTACATGATATTTGTTTTTGGCACAATTTGTTCAACCTATCTGATTACTACTAGTGTTATAAATACTTGGGTAATAAAATATGCTTAGTATTATAGGCTTGGTTATTGTCTCCATTTAGAATCATTTTTTGTATTCAAAGATTTATCATTAAATTCAAATTAAACATATCCAGTACAGTAATCTGCTCAGTGCAGAAGTACACTCGACACCTACTACCACCTACCTCTCAGTTTTTAAGAATGTAATTAATGATTTTGGCCAAGAACAGAATACAAATGTTACTGTTGAAATCTTAATAAATATGTATTTTATCATTCTATAAAAAGAACATTTTTTTTTAACTGTTTTATATTACAATATATTTTGTTAACAATAAATTTGTTTTTATTATTAGGCAAAACTGTTGAACAATTGGAACTCACTACAGATACCATATATGAAGTTCCCACTGAAGGTGTAATAACATCTAAAATAGTTGGAACTGACAATGGACGTATCTTTCTTGCAAGTGAAGATGGTAACCTCTTTGAAATTGATTATTGGGTAATTATTTTCTTAAATATATTTTTTTAAATATTAAATACCTATATTATTTTTCAAGATAAAAAAATATTAATACTCTGTACTTTTTCAATATATTTAGAAAGATTTGGGATGGTTTTCAATTGGAAATGGAAGACGTTGCAAGAAAGTTTGTCATTCAACCGGTACTTTATCATATATATTACCATCATTTTTAACATATGCTATCACCGAACCCTCTGCCATTATTGAAGTAGCTGTTGATAATACACGGCACATACTTTACACATTGACTGAAAATAGTTCAATTGAAATGTATGATCTTGGATCTGATGGTAAATCTACAAGCCGAATTGTTTCTTTGTCGCATTCTAATCTTGAGCATCAAGTTTCAAAACTGCTTAGGTAAGTAATTTTTTTTTTTAATAGGTTCTTATTCATTGTTAACCAGCCACCAAACTGTATAAAAGTTAGATATTTTTAATATAATGTAACAATACTCTCAAATATAACTAAATCATAATAGTATATTGGTATTTACTATTAATAGTAGCATAGTTAATAATTAATGTTTCATAATCACACATAAATAAACACAAACAAATAAAAGTTTTTACTTTATATGCATTTATTGTCATTTCTTAGATATTGTCACACATTTTATTTGTATTAATAATATGATTTGTCGTAAAAACTAAAAATTGAATTGTTTACTCCAACCCACAAGAGAATTAAACCATGCCTCAACATGTCTGAACTTGCAACATCCCTGTCCCATATTGCTCGAAGCATACACCATTTACAGACAACCTGTTTAGTCACGATTGACAACAGTTGGAGACTAAACATACACACATATTATATATTATATTGCCTTGAATATTGAGGAAACAATGCTTCAGAATAATCACTAATGCGAATCTGCATGTATTTACTTTTTAAATTGAGTAATGACAAGGAATTTGGTGCATTTTTATTTCAGAACAATAGAAATAGCTCAAATGACTATATTGAGTAGTATAAAAATCGTTGAAGAAACTGAATCACCTAACATTCATCTGTTGGTTGTATCAAAGTCTGGATTTAGATTGTATTTCTCTACTGGAGCAATAACCTCCAGCAATACTAGACCTTACACATTACAACTTGTTCACATACGTTTGCCACCAGGATATAATAGAGTTATTGGAGAATCTAAACCGAGTAGTGTTCAGCACGTTCTCTACAACAGAGGTATAATTTTATTCTATTATTAAAAGTCCAATAATTTTAACTTTTTTGTTATAGACTACATGAATTTATTGATAACATATTTTTGCTTTGCATGCTCATTGTTATTCCTCAACGTTTTTTTTTTTTTTTTTGCAGGCACTATTATAATGGCATGTAATACTGACATAACTAATTACAGGCCAATGTTGTGGTGTATATCTCCTGATGAATATGCATTTAGTTCTAACTTTAGTGAAAGATATTTTATTACTGATTTGGATATGTGTCCTTTATCACTGGACAATATAGGTCCAAATTTATTAATATACAATGACCCAAGCTCACCACAACCACCACTCATTGTTCGTCAACAATTTGAAAATCGCCAAGAATATATAACTTTAGCTCCACAAGTAAGTAATTTAAAAAAAAAAAATGTTTACTTTTTTATATTATTTGTTTTTTTACTAAAGGGTTTGGAAATTTTTGAAATGCTTCGGCCTTATGATACTCTTTGTGAATTATTGGCCAGCAGTCAAGGTTCAGAAACAGATGCTATCAAAACATATTTTAAAAATTTCACAGATAACCAAGCATGTGTGGCATGTCTCACAATTATTTGTGATCAGTCATTAAAAAATATAAAGGTTTGTTCTTTCATTTTTTTATTTATAATTACTTAAATGTACTTATATATTTTATTGTAATTAGATCAAAGAATATGCGACTCGTGCATTTTTCACTCATGGTGGTGAGCCTAAATTAGTGACTGAAAATTTACATGAATCACTTCATGAATTAACAAGAGTTCCTCAGAATAATAGTAAGAAACATTTGTTTACTATTTAGGGTGGTTAATACTTTAATAATTAATTAGCTTATTTAAAATGTTGAGTTATTATAACGACACAAATGAAAAGTTTTAAATAATTATTTCAAAACTAGCAATGTAAAAGCATCTTTTTTTTTACTTTAAATATTTTATAGGGATTTCACTTTTATATTTTTATTGATATGTCCTTTATAAAGATGTATGGTTTTCTCAAGGAAGAAATGAGATAAAACCAATTTTATAAAATATTTTCAGGTTTCAGATCAAGTACTTATTTAACATCAACTATACCATCGTGTATGCCAACTTTTATAAAAAATCAGACAAATATAACACACTTACCATTTGAATCCACAAGTGTTCAATACTCTTCGAAACACAATGGATTATATTTATTTGTGAGTCGTTTACTGAGACCGCTTTGGAACATTAAAGCTGTTAATTTGGAAACCACTGATGGGAAAACTTATGTAATTTATAAGTTTATTTATTGAATTAGTTTTATTTATAAATAAAAATTAAATTCATAACTGTTAAATTTTTGTTTTTAGATTGTCAACACTGTGTCTCCGGACGATTGTTTATTTGTTGCAAGCCATTTGCAAACTTTGCACGCTTTCATGAACAATTATTCAAAAATGTTGGCAAACTATACCAGAATACCATTTGATGCTTCTAAACGAACAGCTGCACAGGATGCACATCAATCTGAATCAAAATCGATAGAATGTTTGAAACAATTAGTTGTTCGTAGTGCTGAAGTGTTTAATTTGTGGAAATTACTCAGTGAACATCAATTTTTTATGATAGCGAAGGAATTACTCGACGTAAGTAAAATTAGAAAAGTTATCTCGTTTTTGTTACTTTATATTCCGACGAACTATAAATGAATTGGTTTTACAATATGTCTTTTTTTTTTATTATTATGACGTCATAATTTTATATTGTATAAGTTGTAAAAATGCTTTGATCTTCATTTTCTCTTTTTAATTTCTGGTAGTAAAGTGGATCTAGTTGCCAGTTAGTAACTTGTGTGGTCAAAAGTAAAAAATTCCCAATACTTCTTAGTAATTGGGATAAATGGAAAAACAAAAATAATCACTAAAAACCATTTTCGAAAAAATCAATTTTGTCATTGTATCGTACCTAATTCAAAAAGGAATAACTGTAGTTACTAGATACCTACATGCATTTTTCACCTAATTTGTTATTGTTTTGAGCTATTTATGGATAATTGAAATTTTTGATTTATTTCCTTCTTTTTTTTTTTCTATAAATGTCAATAAAAAATATAATTGGAAATTTAATACAAGATTCCACATTAGTTGTTTGTACAGATATTTTATAACATTAAAAGTAGATAGGCAAAATGTTTTTTAATGAAGTGTTTAATTTCAAATTTTGATAAAATTAGTGACATCTTTTATGCTATGGTAAGTCGGTATTTATACAAAAGTTAATAACAATAATATATACTATTATAATAATTTAAATTATTAATTAATAATATAATAAATGCAATATTTTTTTTCATAAATTAATTCAACCCTCTACATTACTACCTAATAGTAAAATAAATTACTATAGTATGAATGTAAATATATAATAAAATATACTTACTAGGCTATATCAGCTGACAGGTTATTTATGTTTGGAATCATTTTTTGTATGTTCAAATTTAATCCATCCGTAATGGATTTAATTTAGAGTTATAATATAAATTGTTGTATTGGTTTTAGCAAGAACAACGTGTATTGGAAAATGTTACTTTTAAAGAATTGATCCTTGTACACCAAGAACTGTGTCAGACTTTGGTTCAAAAACTATTAGACACGTGAGTATACACATGAAAAAATATATATTTGATAATATAGGTAATTGTACATACTTAAAAGAAACTTGTGCCAAGGTGCCCTTCTGCGCACTTTTAAATCGTCCCTGAGTATAGAGTTAATTATTTTTTATAATTAATAATAATATTGTGCATATAATTATTATCTGGTTTTAAAAATAATAAGATCTGTGAAATAAGAGAATATTTTTTGTTTTATATTTTTAGATATTTAAATGAAAGTTCGTCTGTAGAATCAATCAGTACAAAATTACGACAAGTCTGCCCGTCCATATACCATTCTGAAGATGCTGCTTGTGCAAAAGTATATATTAAAAATTTAACTTTATTCAATATAGACTTGCCCAAAAAAACAAATAATTAATTTTATATATTGTGTGTTAAACTGTTAAGTGGATATCTCACCCACATGAGTTCTCTCCATCTTACTAACCTCATAACAGTGAATGTGGGTATGACATGTTCTTCAATAAGACAGTGGAGCATACAAATATATTTTTTTAATTGAGATACAAACTTTTATGTAAATTTTAATTGTAACTATTAAAAACCATAAATTATCTTATCCATTTGATTTTTTTAGGCTTCAGAAATGATTAAATTAGCTCAATCTACAGTCAATGAAGATGAGCGTAAACGAATCCTATACCAATCTCTTATGGTAATTATTAAATAAACAAATTTTTTTACTATCATACATTTTTTATTATTTATTATTGATTTGATTAAATTAGGTGTTGAAAGAAGTGGCACCAAAGTTTAATTTAACTTCAGTGTGTTTACAATACACAAATTGTGCGTATATGGAAGGTGTATATCAGATGTGTAAAGAGTGTGCTAAAAAAATTGATCCTAAGAATTTAGGAGGTCATTATTTTGTCAACAATATGGTATTAGATAGAGATGGACCAGGTTATGGTGCCTACATGCTCAGGTAATGTAAAATTTCCTTATTTACACTTAAATTACCTTTGATTGAAGTTGTATTTATTAATATTAATGTAACAGAAGTACTTGAAAAACATAACTTTCAAAAGCATGTTGATTTATATTTGTTATGAATTCAGATTAGATATTTACAAAGAAATAAGTGCAAGTTTAGATTACTTATACTCAATCATGGTGAAAAATCCATCTGTATTTATACCAACTCGACCAAATTTGATCCCTGGAATTCTAGAAAATTCTGCACTAACTTCTGAACAATCTTCTAATTTGGTATTGATTTTACTTTTTTTTCTATAAACCTTTATACATTTTTAAATAAATTCACATGTTTATATACTTACAATATTGGTATATTTGTTATAACAGGTTTCTGAACTGATAAAATTGTGTATCTCCTGTGATGATGAAATCATGCACACTGTAGTGTATAGATGGATGATAGATAAAAAATTAATTAAAGAAACAATTGAAATGGGAAATCATAGTTTGGAAAAGTTTTTATTAACTCAGTCCAGGTCTGATGAAAACAATAACTATATCAAAGATGTACTCTGTAGATATTATGAGTATAATGGAAATTATAATGAGGCAGCCGAAGTTCTGGCATCATTGGCTAAAAGACCAGAGTAATTATAATTTTTTATATATTAAGACTAAATGTGTATACCTATTTTAAACTTAAAGAAATTTTATTTTTTATTAGGAGTGGCTTAACTTTAAGCGATCGTCTTATGTATTTGGGCCGAGCTATGGCATGTTTACGCAGTAAAAAGTTGAGTACACCTGCCTTGAATGTTACCAGTCTCAGAGATGTTGAAGACTTGTTACAAGTAGCTGAAATACAGAAAATGGTTAGTTTCAATGACGTAAACATTAATTTATCCTTTTTTTAAATTAATTTTTACTTAATTTTACTTAAACTTTTATTTAATTGCTTAAACCAGGTATTGGATTTATTGTTGTCTAGTCAAATTGATGGAAGAACTGATATTATTGATAAGCTAAATAGCTGTCTGTTTACATTAGGCGAAGTATGCATTCAAAAATGATGAGAGAGAATGTTTATCAACAATAATAATTAATATGTATCTTTTAGCTTTACAGTAATTTTGCGGAACCTCATAGGCTATGGGAAGCTCAGTTGGCGATATTACAACTTTCCAATCATGATGATCGTGAACTAGTCAATCAGATTTGGGAAAGTATTTTACTAAAAGGTAAGTTCCAAGTACAAATATAAAATTTAAGTTTTGATAATTATTGTTAGTTAACTTGTTTTAAAATGTTTGTTTTTATTATTTTAATATAAAAAACAGATCCTTAGACCATGTGTATTCATAAGTATGTTAAGCATTTTAATGGTTAAAGTACTTATCAAATTAAAAAAAAGATTAAAACATTTTTCCCTTTTAAATATGGTAAAATTATGGGGTTGAATTATATAGATGAGTATAATTATATAGTGTAATAAATATTTTAACCAAAATATAGTCTAGAGATTGGATTGTGTACCTTGTATGACATTAAAATATTATATAAAGTCTAGATTTATAAGTATTCAATACATATAGCATCAATGACAATAGACTGCATTATACATCCAAAGTTAATTTTAATGTATGGTTGTAGTTATACATTTTATGGATTTTTTCTTGAAAACTATTGTATGTTGACTATAGAAATGATTCTTTTTACATTTTTTTTTTTATTATTAGTTGTGGAAGATTGTGGAGATATTGGTGAACACAATAAAATGACCATTGTTCTTGAAAAAATAAAGTCATTGGCTAGTTCGCATCCAATTAATTCGTCTACATTTGACTTGGGTATGTTTCATGCCTGTTGGCTTCTCATTACAAAAATTCACAAATAATAAAATAGTTTTACCTATTACAATATTTCCTTTTTGTTTGTAGAGTATGTAACGACAATGTTGGAATATTTGAACTGTAACTTGGGTGGAGATTTGGAATCCGTCTACACAACTATGTTAACTATTGGTGCTCCTATCGAGTCTTTAGTAGCAATTTATAAAAAGTAATATCTATTGCCTATTAAAAATTGTAAAAGTCAAGCATAATCATTTGAAATCACTATGTTAATTTATTTCTTTTGCAGAATTTATTCTACTAATGATCCGCGGTGGCAAAAGACAAGTGAGCTACATGTTTTGGAAGTTATCATGAGTTTGGCTCGGTATTATTTACAAAATGTTGATCTATGGCCATCAGGAATGCAAAGGTAATAGTTGTTACTTGTTATTCTATTTTAATTTATGAAAAATATATTTTTGCTTTATATGGTATGAATTTAAATCTTTCAGGAGATCCATTGCTGTTAACTTATTCGATTTGTTAGTTATTTGCCAAAACATGTTGTATAGCCGTTTTGCACATAGTCCACTGATCGAAGGTGTCATCGCAATCAAAAATGAACTTGACAACATCATTAAACACTGACTTAGCAACAAACCTGATTTTTAAACATTTTTCATGTGTCAATTATTAATATATCGTAAATTCTGTATTTATTTCATAAGTTTAATGTAAATTTTGTATGAATTTTAGCTGTTTACTTCAAGGCTATCATTAACTAATACTTTTGTTAATTATGTTGTATTTTATGTTATATCAACAGTTTGATTGTTTCAGAGTTAATTTGATACTTGATCGAAACTCTGTACAATAACAATTATTATATTGAAAGATATCGAATTAGTGTTATTATAATAATTGTAATATTAAACGAGATTCCCTATAAATAATACAACTGAAGGAACATATTAATAGACACTTGTATAAAGAATACAATTAGGGGAATTTATAAATTACTTTTTCTTATGTACTTATATAATATCTTTTATATTTGATCAATAATGTTTGCATATTAAAGTTTCATTAATTTCAGAAAAACACATTTTATACTTATTATTTCTGAAGTAATTAATATTGGTTTTCTTTTTTATCAAAATGTATTCCGCCACAGACGATTTACACAAATTAAGGATTTTTAGCAAAATGTCTCAGAATCAAAACCTCCATTTAAATATTAATACAATAATTTTGAATAAATTCCAATGGATGACTTTTACAGAAATGTATAAAGTAAGCTGATTTGCACAAATGTATGAAATATGAATATGACAAGCTACCCCTAGACTAGGGATCTTCAGACTCTATGGCGGAAGGTCTCGTGTTATTATTTTTTAAATCTTGGGTGCTGTTTTCCTAGTAAAAACAATTATTTACTAGTGTTTCATCAGCCATTTGATGTGGTATGGAAATCATTCAGAATTTAACGAAACTAAAGTTAAGACAGATATTTTTGTTTTATGGACTTTTGGGTAGAATACTGGACAACTAAAATAAATGTTTTATAGTGATACGTAAAACTTATTAACTTCAATAATTAAAGTGATATAAGTCTAAAGTTGGACAAGTGGGTGTTGCCCTACTGTACAGTAGGTTACAAGTGGGCAGTGGTCGGGAGTAGCGCGCTAATTGTAGCGACGCTACTTTAGCTGTAGCGATTAACATAGCGTCGCTACAGTATATACAATGTAGAGAAATACTATAGCGCGCTAGAAATGTACGGTTAGCGTAGCGAAAATGTTTATTATTTTATCGCTACTTCTAACCTATATCATGATAATTAAAATATCATGATGTATATTTATTTATTTAATTAAGATGACAAGATGAGGGTATTTTTGATTTTTTCGGCTTTAGCCCGGACCGGACTAAGATAAGACATGATAGATTAGACTATGATCATAAGTGTATTATTACAATGTAATATTTTATATTATTGAAAACAGAACCATAAATAATATTTAATATATTAGTATTTTATTATCACTATTTTTGTTTTCGGAATTCAGCGTTTTCTACTTTTCTGTGTTATTTTAAGTTTTAAATATTTTGAATAGTTGAATTAAAAATGACAGAACCTGAAGCCACCACGTCATATTCAACTAGTTAGCAATTTTCAATAAAACGTTTATTTGTTTTGATTTTTGTTACAAAAATACATGAGTTACACTTAATAAACCAGCCTTCCGAAATTATAAGAAAATAGTGGTAGGCATTAACAAATAATGACCAAGTACTCAAGTGAATATCTAAAGAAACAAAAAAATTTTTTAAAAAAATGTAGCGAAAAAGTAGCACGCTACATTTAAAAAATAGCGCACTACATTTAAAAAAAAGTAGCTTTAGCGATAGCGAGCTACTTTTTTTGGGGAGTAGCAGTAGCGTTAGCGTGCTACAAAAAAACAGTAGCGTCCCGACCACTGCAAGTGGGTCACTGTTATTGATGGTGTTAAATTTGAATTCAATGATATATCGTTATTCATTGTATAAGAAAGTATTCATCGTATCGGTCAGCCTATGGTATTACCAAGTATATTTGATATTATTGTGAAAATAAAGTAATTTATATATAAACTATTTATGTGTAACATTGTTTTAAATTTTCAATCCTTAGCTATAAAAGTTGAACATTTTATACATTATTAACAACAAAATAATTAGTACATTTTGTCAAAATTCAAACTTTTAATGCTTATAAAAAAAAATTGTGACCAGATTATTATTTTTCAAATGTCACTGTGCAATACATTAGGAGCCTTGTATAACATTTTCAAGCTTATTTACCCAACAAATACAATTTTATTGACATCCATAGAAAAAAAAACTAATAAAATTGGAAACTGAAAATGCCAAAATAGTTCAAAGCAAATCAAATTATTTTGAAAATTTCATTTCGGTCATTTGTTTTAGTTATAATAAAAACCAAAATCGATGTTGTCAAAAACCAATTTTGCATAAAAATTCCCATTTTTCTTTAATTTTTATGTTGTTTTTTCTAGCGCTTTTGAAAATTATTGGGAATTTCACACCTTCCAAATGCACCAACTAAATGCACTTTCCTATCTAACAAGATACTGTTAAAGAAAATCTAAGCAGTTTTCTGCCCCAAACGGTGATGACAGACACAAAAAAAAAAACACATAAAATCGTAAAATAATTACATTCATCGGTCAGCTCAGAATCTAAAATTAACAAATGCCAAATTTATGAACTGAAACTTAAAAAAGTTAGGCGTGTCATTAATTTCATTTATAACTTTATTATCACATGTAAATACTACTTAAAATGATACTTAAAGCAAAAAATATAATTATCAGTTTTGTATAAAAATAAACTTATGAGGTAGTTTTAAAATAACATGGTAAACATTTATAACAAAAATTTACATAATTAATTTTATAACATTTAAATACAAGAAAATATATCCATTAAATAAATAAAAAGATTGTAGCAAAACAAATATAATCAATTATTTTTCAATTATTTATATATGAGCTATTCATTTATTATATTTTAAATCTAGATATTTTTAGGTATATTTTGTGTTTTGACTATTAACCACTAATCTTACATGTTTTCAATTGTATGTGATTATAATAGTTTACAGGTGATGGAAAATAGTGATATAGATAGTTCATTAATATATAAGTATGATTTTTGCATAAATTAAATTACACATTTTTCATCAAATCAATAAAAAATGTTATTAATTTTGTATTACAAAAATATTCGTTCATCGTTGAAAGGTAACAAAATTATATATAGCTTTAAGTAGAGAAAAAATAATTATAAAAAAATAGCATAACAGTTCATTCTACATAATATACAATTAGATCTATAAGGTACATCAAAAATATATAATATTATATTGAGTGATAAATATATTTGTAAAGCAAAATAATATTTAATAAACTATAGTTAATTTAGATATTTACGACATTTTCTTGAAAGACAATGGCACGTAATTTTATCCTCCTCTAATGGAAATTTATAGTCATATGTGAGTTCTTCGCCCTGCAGTAGTTTTCTTTTAGCCAAAATCATTATATGCTTTTTACCATGGATTGTTTCAATTTTTGAATGACAATTAGGCTGTTTGATGAAAATATTTCATTAGATTATAAATAATATTAAAAACTTCTAAGGTCCTTGACAAAACACATAACATTTAGATATATATAATATGATGATATATTTACCTCGCACGAGTGATTAATGAATCTAGAAGAGTTTCCATTCATAGTTGCATCAACAACAATATCCTGATCGATCCTAAACATGTAACAATCGATCCCTTTTTTATTATAAAGCCTCTCACGTACATCGCTCACTTCTGATCGAATAACCTGCAAGGGATAAAAAAAAAAAAAAATTGATAAGCGATAAATTTAAAATAAATTTAAACATCAACAAACAACACTCACCTCCCCTGTATACTCAATGACATACTCCCCTTGTTCGATGTCCCTCAAACAAAACAATCCACGCCCATGAATATCCGATCGATATACACCAATAGTGCTAGTCAATGCTTTATTCATGTTTCTAAACTTCATCTCATTAGGCAAGGAATTAGCACGTCGACCACCAAAGTCTTCATTATTTGCTAATAACTTTGGAGGTTTTCTGTGCCTGGAAGCTAACCAGCTGAACATGTCATATCTGTTTTTTCTAACCACTATTCCTGTACGAGCACACCCTGAATGATTTTCAGTGGTAGAGCCAACAACATCAGCGCCTTTATGGTATACTGGTTTGTATTTAACAAATTCTTTGGCACCCGAAAGTTGTTCCAAGAGATACTTTAAAAAATTATTGCTTAGGCCTAGAGACCGAATTGCTGCTGTAATATCACTCGCATATGGATTGCTTGATGCCAATTGGGGCATTTTACGTTCATTCCTTGATACCTGAACAGCATCAAATAGTTTTGACCAAATTTCAACAAGTGAGCGATCTTTACAGAAGACACCATCAGCAGAGCTCATTTCAAACATGAGGTGAGGTACTGTCCGTTCACGTTCTGCTGTGGATGAAGACCATTGGCGCCCTGGATATGATTTATGGTGGACAGTTTTTGTTTTTAATGGAGATGAGTCTTCTTGAATACTTGAATCAATTTCTTTATTTGATGCAACTGTTTTACTTTTAACGTTATTAATATTATAGGAATTCGACAAAATATTTTCATAAATGTTGGAAGACGAATTTATTTCCATGTGTGATTTATTATTTCCTAAATGATTAGGTGAAACTAAATCTACATCCATAGGTTCGTAATTTATCAAAGATTTGTTTGCTACCATAAAAGTACTTGAGTGTTTATCTAAATATAACGACGGTGATGTGTTTATGTCTGTGACTAATGTGGGTGAATATGTTTCTACTGTAGATACGTTTGATATTTTGTCTACATTCTGTACAGGTGATTGTAGTTGTTCTTCCAACTGTTGCATATGTGATGTTTTTTCTGTGTCTAGTAAAGATAATGGATTTTCTGATCTTAAAGGAATATGCTCACAAAATAATAATTGAGGAACTGATGAATTATCTATTTTTTGTAGATATAGTGACTGGGTATTTCCTCC